GGGAGAAGCAGTCTCCCAGCTGAGCAGGGAGCCCCACGTGGGGCTTGATCCCAGGACGCTGGGATCATGACTTGAGCCAAAGGCAGACACTTAGCCAACTAAGCCACCCAGGTGCCCCATTAGCATTTTATTTATTTATTTTTTAAAGATTTTATTTATTTATTTGTCAGAGAAAGGGAGAGAGAGCACAAGCAGCCGGGGAGGGGGGGGTGGGCGGCGGCGGCAGGCAGAGGGAGAAGCAGGCTCCCCGCTGAGCAGGGAACCCAATGTGGGGGCTCAATCCCAGGACCCTGGGATCATGACCTGAGCCGAAGGCAGACGCTTAACGACTGAGCCACCCAGGCATCTCATCTTAACACTTTCAAGATGCCATTCTGGGGTGCCTGAGTGGCTGAGTTGGTTAAACATCTGCCTTTGCCTCAGGTCGTAATCCCAGGGTCCTGGGATCAAGCCCCACGGCTGGCTCCCTGCTCAGCCGGGAGTCTGCTACTCCCTCTGCCCCTCCCCCTTCTGGTGCTCATTCTCTCTCTCTCAAATAAATAAAAATAAAATTTAAAAAGATGCCATTCCATTGTGTTATAGCTTCGTTGTTCCTGTTGAAAAAGTCTGCTCTGAGCTTATTGTTAACTTCTTTATAGTTCTCTCTGGTTGTTCTTAAGATTTCTCTTTGATTTTCATGTTCTGCAGGTATGGACTTCTTTAACTCAGCCCTACTCGGGATATATTGTCGTTCCTAAATCTAACAACTTAGATCTTTCCTGAAGTTTTGAGAATTCTTAGCCAATTATACCTTTGAGTGTTGCCTCTCTCCCATTCTCACCAGTCTATCTTTCTGGAATTCCAGTTAGATGAATGTTATACTATCACATTCTGTCTTCCACAAGTGATAATCACTCTTTTTATCTTTTCCGTCTTTTTGTCTCTACATCCCGGTGCACTGATTCCTTCTCTGGATATATTTACTCTATTCTTTAACCAGCCCGTTGTGTTTTAATTTTAAAGCTCTATTTGTTTCTTTTTCAAATCAGTTTGGTTGTTTCTGGATGTCTCCTGTTCCTTCTTCATGTTCATAGATCTCTTCTTTGTGTAAAGTATCCTTTTTAAAATATTTTGTGTCTAACAGTTCCATTATCTAAAGTCTTATGGAGCTAATGATGCTCTTTATTTTTTCTGCTAACTCTTACTCATTGTTCCATCATTTTCTGAAGTCTTTGGCAATTTTTATTGTGAGCTCACAATGCATCACTGATTTTAATCTTTAGGAATCCTGAGGGGTCTGGGTTTAGGGTACAGTCCTCAATTAGAGGATTTGCATTTGTGTCTGTCATCTGTCCCCAGTGCTCCCAAACTGGAAGTACTTTCATCTTTCAGCTTGGGATTTTTCTGGACCATACAGATCATGATTTTGAATTTTAATCAGAGACTTTTTTCCCCACTTTAAGTAAGACTTAACACAATTGGGTGATTTTACCACCGTATTTTTTTCTAGCTCACTCTTTGACTCAGAGTGTAGTCTTTCATGGATTTATGCAAGGGATCTCAATTTCATCTCCTCACCTTTGGCTTTCCCTTACTTTCTAATAAACTAAACTCTATGTCTAAAAGGATATTTATGGGGTGCCTGGGGAGCTTAGACAGTTAAGTGGCTGCTTTTGGCCCTCATAGTCTCAGGGTCCTGGGATTGAGCCCCACATCGGGCGCCCTGCTCAGCAGGGAGTCTGCTTCTCCCTCTCCCTCTGCCCCTCCCCCCACGCGTGCTCTCCCTCTCTCTCTCTCTCTCTCTCTCTCAAATGAATAAATAAAATCTTTAAAAAAATTTTTTTAAAGGATATTTATAATCCCTTAAGCATTTTTAGATGTCTGAGAGTTTTTCAGACTAGTTAGTAATGTTGCCAGAAGCAGGTGTCCAGTGGTGGGTATGTATGTATGTTTGTGTTGGTGAGTAAACATGTATGTGCACATGTGTGAGTGTATATAAGATTAAATTGTTCATTGTGTCTCGGCACTATTTACGTTGAATCTGGGAAGTTATAAACAATTTTATTTGGCTTAGTAAACATATTTCATTATTGATTTGACCACCATTTATGTTTAATTATTTTGCAGTACTGTAATAATATGCAAATGGTTACACATGTGTCAACTGAAATTATTTTATTTGATTGATGAATATTGAATAATTTACTTTTACATTCATAATTGTGTAAAAGTTGAAAGCACAGGTCTACCAGACTACCTGGCTTCAAATGCCAGACTTTGGCTGTGTGGCCAGAGGAAAATTAGTTAACTTTTCTGCCTAGATTTTCTCATCTGTAAAATGGTAATAATAAGAATATGTCATATGGTGGTTGTGGTGTATAAATGAGATAATTAAGTATTTAGCACAGAGGGTCTATGTTTGTAGTCATTGTTTAATAAACGTTAGCAATTTTTGTAGTTATTTTTTTCATCTTTCCTGGCCCAGTCTTCATATGTGTCGAAGGGGAAAAAATTAAAATTTTCTCCTTATATAATGTCTGTTTCTTCCATATTGCTTTTTTATGGATCTAATCTTCCATCTTAACAACTTCCCTAATATATCTGATAATTCTTGGTTGTCTACTCCTTAGTAAGAGAATGGGACTAAAAATCTGCCTGGAGTCTCTAAGCCTGTCGATAAGGTGTTTTCACTTTGGGCTTTGCTGTAGGCTGGCCTGGGTAGGCTTTTTGCCGGGCAACACCTGGTGTTAGTATCCTCCAGTCTTTCCTGGTGGAGTGGTCCTGAATTCCCAGGGAATACTCTTTTGATCTTCTGCCTGGAGGGTAGTGTTCTGGGAGCCAGGTGCGGGGGTGAGGGCTGGGTCAGGAGAGAGAGTTGTCAGTATTCAGCATACCCGCATACCCTACCGACAGCTAACCAGTTACATAGTCTGTTGCTAGCGCACTCTAGTCTTCGCTGTGCCCAACCCTTGGTTGAAAAGTTCTCTTCTTTTGCCCTATCCAGAGAGAATAAACGTTCAGGCTCCTGCCACAATGAGGGAGGAACAGTTGCCTTTTGGTGTGGAGCTGGAGAAGGAATCTGAAGCTTTAACTACTTCTGAAACCGCTCTTTCCCAATTCTTATTTTAGGGCCTTTCCCTTTTCTCCCAGTTCCAGAAGTACCTAATGTTGTTAGTTCCCAAGCCCTTTGCAGACTGTGTGGTGTAAATCAGGCTGGTCTGTTTGCTCCACTGCTGGCTTGTGAGTCAGCTTTCTTTAGTCTGCTAAGTCTGTTCATATGCCCATATGATTTCCTGCTTCTAAAATGTTGCTGTTGTCACCTCTCATGTTTTCCCCATCCATGCGGGTTTGTATCTTTTAAAAAAGTTCCTTGACTATAGTTTTAATGGGGATTTTGGAGGGAATAACATTAGTTGTGAATTGTGAATGTTCTTTCCACCATCTTAACTTGGAAGTCTCAGTTTTTTAAATGGCAATTCATGGTGTATTGGGAGGTGATCATAAGTGATATGTGCTTATTTGTAGATGATTTGGAATATAGGAAAGATATAAAACAGTTAAAACACCACCATAATTGTATCATGTAGAAAAACTGCTGTTAACATTTGATATATATCCAGTTTGTTTTCTGTATTTGTTTTTTTTTTTTCAATATTTTATTTATTTATTTGACAGAGAGAGACATAGCGAGAGCAGGAACACAAGCAGGGGGAGTGGGAGAGGGAGAAGCAGGCTTCCCGCGGAGCAGGGAGCCCGATGTGGGACTCGATCCCAGGACCCTGGGATCATGACCTGAGCCGAAGGCAGATGCTTAATGACTGAGCCACCCAGGCGCCCCTCTGTATTTGTTTTTATATACACATTCACATTTTTTCAAAATTGGAATCATTATTTTTAGTTTTCTATCATGCTTTCTTCACCTAATAAACCATTTTCCCATGTCAGAACATAATTTTGGAAACATTTCTAATGGGTTTACAATATGGCTGTCATATAACTTTGTCATGATTTATTTAAATATTGTCTATTAATAAAGATTTGTGTTATTACCATTCTTTTTTTCTAATAAGCTTCATGAAGTCAGGGAATGTCTGTCTTGTTCATGATTCTTTCTCCAATCCTTAAGCTACTGTCTACCATCAAGTGATTCAGAGAATGTTTTATTAAGTAGATGAGAAGTTTTGCACAAAAGTCTGATTGTTTTCTTAAGTTAGTTAGAATCTAAGAAGGGCTCTTACTGGATTAAAAGGCATAAACTTTTTGAAGGTTGTTAATAATTTTATTTTCAATGTGTTCTTTGATTTAGAATAAGAAACAAGGATGTAAAAATGAGGAAGTGCTTGCTGTACTTGGCCATGAACTGGGGCACTGGAAGTTGGGACACACAGTCAAAAATATCATTATCAGCCAGGTAAGTTGGGAGTGACAGTCCTCTTTTTACGGCACGGTAGTCAAAGAAGTATGGCAGACAGGAGAGGTGGTCTGGTGGAGAGGTGGCTGCATCTCCTGGCTTCCTGACTTAATACCTGTAATCTCAGGCAAGTTCCTTAAGCATTCTCTGTCTCCAACCCTTTATTGAATGATAATACCCGCTAGGACTGATGTAAGAATAAAGGAGTTAAGGCAGGCATGTAAAGTCGTATGTGGAAGCAGTAAGGACCGTGTCATTTTTATTGCTGTTACCATCATTGTGGCCCCCTCCAGAATCCCTCAGCTCTAGGAACTGCGAAGATCAAAAGCCATGAGCCTTGATAAGCTGGACATTAAAATGCTTTCTTTTTAAACTTTTTTTTCTCATTTACAAGCCATTATATATCTATTGAAGAGAACTGTAGTAGCTATAAAGAATAAAATAACAATTCCTGTAACATTCTTCCTCTGGGGTCTAAATCAACTCTAAAGCAACAGTTACTATGGTTGTGAGGCTCCAGGCAAAATAGCACTATATCCTGTTGACTGGTTCTGAGCAGATGTGGCCTTAACCGAGTCTGAAGTGGGTGTTTGTTTTTGTTTTGTTTTCATGTCAGACGGGTAATGTGCTAAGGTCATAACAAGGTTTGAGGGAGGCAGATGTTACACAACGGCATAAACATCCAATCATCATACTTAAGAACTATAAAAGGATCAGAAGTGGGTCTTTGTACCTTTCTAAAGGCCTGCTATTTCTGGATGGTGGTCTACATGGGAAGATCTGTGCGCTCCTGTGGGCCCTTCCTGTTGCCTTGCATCTTTCAGTAAAAAATGAATTCCTTGGCTTGAAGCTAATTGTATGGATAGATGGCAGTGAGTAAGACAGTAAATAAGTCCAAATCCAAGTTTAGAGTATTTAGTCTAAAGAGGAAAATCACTGCTGCTTTCATGAAGGAAGGGGTGCAGTGGAATCAGGCTACCACGAGGTAGTGGGCTGGTCCCTGAGGTGTGGTACCCAATCCAGGGAGGGGTTGACTGCCCCTTCTAATAGATTGTGCACTCAGGAAAAGCCAGTGGAGGGATGGATATCTAGGTTGTTGACTAATGCACTGACTCCTTCCCTGGCACCTTGGCCATTTTGTTCAAGAGCACCTTGACCAAGTCCTAGAGTGGCTGGGGAGAGAAGCTAACATCCACAGAGCAGGTATCTTCTCCACCTTATTGAACGCCTCCTTTACCGTGGACTCTTTTAGTGAATATTCACATAGGACCAAAGTACTATCATACTCTTGGCTAATTTTGGAAGTTTTTTTCACATACCTCTTTTCCAGATCTTGTTAGCCATCCTAGAGTTCGTTTCAAGGCCCTGATCATTCAGCCAAACTATTATTTGCCCACTGCCAATAATTATATATTTTTAGCTCAGGCCTTCTATCCTTCCAGACTGAGTGGGCAATGAGATACACTACCTAAAATTTCCCTCACTGAGAGTATTTCCTTCACCGCTGCCTTCCAGGAACAGCCCCAAGTGATTCTGTAATACCACAGCAGCCCACTTTCAGCCAGTGCCAGAAATAATGTATTATTTGTAAAATGGGTGTTCAACTTTTTCATCCTCAAATGATTATGGGGAGCTCCCCGTGAGTAAGGGTTGATTGAGGGGTGGCAGGAGTTGGTATACTGGGCGTATAAGCCACTTGCTCATTTAACTTCTCTCTTCATGACATCCTTCATTCCCACTTGCATAGATACCACTTAGACCTGATGTTAGAATGCTTCGGGGCATACCAGTTTCCTGGCTAGGTGGATCATGAGGAGGGGCAGCTCAGGCTGCAGGATCCTAGTGTCCCACGGTCAGGAGTCAGCCTCTGGGAGGACCCAGTAGCAAACCAAAAGTTGTTTTTCAAAAGGCAAGTAGTTACTTGACATAAATGGCACGCATAGCTTCTAATCCTAGGGGCCTTCCCTGTGCTGAAGTTTTCTTTTGGAGCTTGTCGTGTTGGATCCACTGAGTTAACAAGGACTGAATGGTAGAGCTGCTTGTGCTTCATCCTGGGCCAGCTGGCGAATCTTATGCTGCGCCCCACTCTAGGCTGGTAGCTTTTGAGGCATCTGGCAAATGGTTTGGAGCAACACATTCAGATATGGTACCTCTGGCCTCTAAGATCCTGACCTGCCAAGGGAAAGAATGGTATTTGTTCTCCAACCTTACTCTAGTACCCCTTTACTCATATTTTGGTGCAGACTTTTGATTTTTTTTCTCTTGTTTATTGTTAAAGATACATCTACTTTTTTCTTGGACCTAACTACTCAGTACAGCTCCAGTGGTCCTAAAGAGTATTCAAGGGAATCTTGTTTTTTTGGAGCTTCCATATCAAGGTGAGGTGGAAGGCCTTATGTCTGATTATGATTTAGTGCAAACAAAGCCAGAATCCATTCTAGCCCTTTAACTTTTTACAGAAAGGAAATACTCCATTGCTATTGGCCACTTCAAACCCTCAGTCATAGGAGGCTCCACTTAGGCCTGTCCTTACAGAAAACTATACAGGTTAGACATTTGGGGAAATTTTATTTTTCTTTCTAGAATAAAATTATAAAGTTACCTAAATAACTTTTTCTGTGATTACACTAACACCATTCTTAGAATCACACCATGATGTCTGATTCTAGTTTTTTGGTGCTTCTGAAATCACCTTAGTAATAAGTTAGAAATTTTGTGTCTTTCTTTCTAGATGAATTCTTTCCTGTGTTTCTTCTTGTTTGCTGTATTAATTGGTCGAAAGGAGCTTTTTGCTGCATTTGGTTTTTATACCAGCCAACCCACTCTAATTGGATTATTGATCATCTTCCAGTTTATTTTTTCACCTTACAATGAGGTAATGTATAATTGTTAAAATTATCTCACATATGCCCTTGCATTTCAAATCTAGAACCTTTAAGATAGTGAAAAAAGGAATAAACAAAACTATAGTTTTAACAAGTAGATGAGACAGTCTTTTAGTCTCTTGATTGACTGGCCCGTCTAAGAAAGTAGCAGAAAAACCCAAGCCTGTTAGCAGGGGGAAAAAAGTAGAGGACTAGACTTTAGTGGTGGAAACCTTGATCTAACGTATACCTCAGAGACTTGGTGGATGGAGATTAACTATTAGAATGCTATGTCCTAGATCACACATTCACCAGTGCTTGGCTGAAAATCTTCTGTGTATGAGGGAATGAAACAATGATAGTTGAGTATATGTATGGCTAGATGTGGGAGGCTGTATGACACTGTTCCTCTGATCTGTTCTCTGACTACCCGCTTCAGAATAGCCTTGGGGGAGAGGGGGTGCCTGGGTGGCTCAGTCGGTTAAGCGTCTGCCTTCGGCTCGGGTCATGATCCCAGGTCCTGGGATCGAGCCCCATGTCGGGCTCCCTGCTCCACTGTGGGGAGCCTACTTCTCCCTCTCCCTCTGCTTGCTGCTCCCCCTGCTTGTGCTCTCTCTCTGTCAAATAAATAAAATCTTAAAAAAAAAAAAAGAATAGCCTTAGGGGTCACACCATAGGCCCTTTAAATCAAAATTGGGTGTGTTATGGTAAGTGAATTTCAGGAACCACTGCTCAGATTGCTCAGTAGGAGGACTCCATGCAGGTGGTAAGGCATGGATTAATGAGACTGTATATTAACAAATCTGATGATGGCAACATGTCATGATATTTGATAAATTAAGTCAAATTAAGCCAAGAAATAATATTGGGGATTTTGAGATGTCTCCATTCAGAAAGATTCTTTCTTTGAGACAGGTTGTAAAGATTTTAAGATAAACCAAATGAATCCTCTTTCTCCATTACAAAGGGGGAAGGGGTTCAGAAAGAACAATAGAGAGGAATAGATGATATTTGCATAGCATTGTCCATATAAACTAACAAAGTTTTCCAGAGCATGGAGATTTACTACCTTTAGAATCTTTTTTTTAAACTGGGGAAAAAATGTTTATAAAATATTTGTAAAATATGTATAAAAAATTTTATAAAATTTTACATATAAAATTTTATAAAATTTTTATAAAATATTTATAAAAATGCCTTATGCAGTTTGTTACTGCTTAAAGAGGTTAGAGACACTTTTTTTTTAAAATTTATTTTATTATGTTATGTTAGTCACCATACATTACATCATTAGTTTTTGATGTAGTGTTCCATGATTCATTGTTTGTGTATAACACCTAGTGCTCCATTCAATATGTGCCCTCCATCATCGGGCTAACCCATCCCCCCATCCCCCTCCCCTCTAAAACCCTCAGTTTGTTTCTCAGAGTCCATAGTCTCTCATGGTTCCTCTCCCCCTCCAATTCCCCCCCTTCATTTTTCCCTTCCTACTATGTTCTTCTTCTTTTTTTTTTTTTTACATATAATATATTATTTGTTTCAGAGGTACAGGTCTGATTCATTAGTCTTACACAATTCACAGTGCTCACCGTAGCACATACCCTCCCCAGTGTCTATCACCCAGCCACCCCATCCCTCCCACCCCCCACCACTCCAGCAACCCTCAGTTTCTTTCCTGAGATTAAGAATTCCTCATATCAGTGAGATAATATGATACTTGTCTTTCTCTGATTGACTTATTTCACTCAGCATAATACCCTCCAGTTCCATCCATGTCGTTGCAAATGGCAAGATTTGGGGTTTTTTTTTTTTATGGCTGCATAATATTCCGTTGTATATATATACACCACATCTTTTTTTTAATTTTTTTTTTTAAAGATTTTATTTATTTGAGAGAGAATGAGAGAGAGAGAGCACATGAGAGGGGGGAGGGTCAGAGGGCAAAGCAGACTCCCTGCTGAGCAGGGAGCCCGATGTGGGACTCGATCCAGGGACGCCAGGATCATGACCTGAGCCTAAGGCAGTTGCTTAACCAGCTGAGCCACCCAGGCGCCCTATACCACATCTTCTTTATCCATTCATCTGTTGATGGATATCTTGGCTCTTTCCATAGTTTGGCTATTGTGGACATTGCTGCTATAAACATTGGGGTGTATGTACCCCTTCGGATCACTACATTTGTATCTTTGGGGTAAATACCCAGTAGTGTAATTGCTGGGTTGTAGGGTAGCTCTATTTTCAACTTTTTGAGGAACCTCCATACTGTGTTCCAGAGTGGTTGCACCAGCTTGCATTCCTACCAACAGTGTAGGAGGGTTCCCCTTTTTCCACATCCTCACCAATATCTGTTGTTTCCTGACTTGTTAATTTTAGCCATTCTGACTGGTGTGAGGAGGTATCTCATTGAGGTTTTGATTTGGATTTCCCTGATGCCAAGTGATGTTGAACACCTTTTCATGTGTCTGTTGGCCATTTGGATGTCTTTGGAAAAATGTCTGTTCATGTCTTCTGCCCATTTCTTGATTGGATTATTTGTTCTTTGGGTGTTGAGTTTGATAAGTTCTTTATGGATTTTGGATACCAGCCCGTTATCTGGTATGTCATTTGCAAATATCTTCTCCCATTCTGTCAGCTGTCTTTTGGTTTTGTTGACTGTTGCCTTTGCTGTGCAAAAGCTTTTTATCTTGATGAAGTCCCAATAGTTCATTTTTGCCCTTGCTTCCCTTGCCTTTGGCAATGTTTCTGGGAAGAAGTTGCTGTGGCTGAGGTCTTAGAGGTAGCTGCCTGTGTTCTCCTTTAGGATTTTGATGGACTCCTGTCTCACTTTAGGTCTTTCATCCATTTTGAGTC